TTCTTTCTTTCTTTCTTTCTTTCTTTCTTTCTTTCTTTCTTTCTTTCCTTCCTTCCTTCCTTCCTTCTTTCCTTCTTTCCTTCTTTCCTTCCTTCCTTCCTTCTTTCTTTTTCTTTCCTTCCTTCCTTCCTTCCTTCCTTCCTTCCTTCCTTCCTTCCTTGTTTCTTCCTCCTTTCCAATTTCTTCTTCCCTTCCTCTCTCTTTTTTGTCTCTCATTCTTTGTTTCTTTTTTCTCTTTCTTCCTCTGCCTTTTTCCTTCTTTCTCTTTCTCTGTCTCTTTCCTTCTTATTCACTGTTCCATCTGTCTTTTTTCTTTCTCACTCTTTTTGTCTCTCCTCGTCTCCTTTTCTTTTTGTCTCTCTCTCTCCCTCCTCCTCTCTCTCTCATTCTTTCTTTCTCTTTTTCCTCCTTTCTCTTTCTTTGTCCCTTTCATACTTTCTTTGTCTTTTTCTCTTTCTCTGTCTCTTTCCTTCTTATTCACTGTTTCTCTCTTTCTAGCCATCTCTCTCTCTCTCTCTCTCTCTCTCTCTCTCTCACACACACACACACACACACACACACACACACACACACAGTGAGGGGGGGAAAGCCTGACACACTTTCAGGGGAAGTTGCCTGGAGTTAATCCCGCCAATAATATTTGGAAAACTGGTTTGGAAAAAAAAAGAGACTTAACCTCAGCTGCTCCACTTCCTTAACTGCAGCCCCGAAGTTGCTGCTGCTGCTGCTGCTGGGTGTGGTTGTTGTGGGTTTTTGTGCAGGGGTGGAAATCTCCCTGGGAAAGGGGCTGGCCCAGAGCTCTTAGACCAACGGTCCTTTCGGCCCTGTTTAAACTCTCCAGCGGTCCAGAGAAAGCAGGGAAAATAAACACCTCAACAGGCCTGTATGACCTCTGTCTTCTTATATTTTCTCAGCCAAGGGCTCGGGACGGGGCTGTCCTTCCCAGAGCCAGGGAAAAAGGGGAGGGCTGGGGGGCAAAGGTTGAAGTCTCCAGTTGCAAAAACAGGGAAGATGTAGCTGTCCTGACATTTAAAGCTGCTCTCGTGACGATTGTGACCTTTGCAGCAAAGTGTTCAATTGGGTGAAGTTTGCACCAAGGAGGCAGTGGAGGAAAAAGGTCCGGGCATCAGAGTGTTTTTCTGCTCTCTCTCTCTCTCTTAAATCACAGAGAAAAATCTACTAAGATCTCCCTGGGTCAGATTCAGAGAGGTTGCAAAACTGGGCCCAAAGATTGCAGGAAAATCAGAATGGAAGAGCCTGCCCTGCAAGGAATTCAGTCATACGTCACATTTTTCAGGGGCCTTGTAAAACTTCAAACGGTCCCTAAATGGTTGGTTAATACCAAGAGTGGCAGGGGGTAGTATAAGAAAAAATAAAAAAACCTAGGAAGTTAGTTGTAACATTGCTGGGTTTGATACTCTGTACCGAATAAAACTGCTTTTGAAATTCATCCAGATTTGTTTCAAAGTTCTTAGTACTAACTAGCTCCTTTCCTTTCCTTTTTTATCTTTCCTTTTCCTTTCCTTCTCCTTCCATCCTTGTCTCTTTTCCTTCCTTCCTTCCTTCCTTCCTTCCTTCCTTCCTTCCTTCCTTCCTTCCTTCCTTCCTTCCTTCCCTTTCCGTTCCGTTCCTTTCCACTCCTTTTATCTTTTCTTTTCCTTTCCTTCTCCTTCTTCTTTCCTTGTCTCTCTTTTCCTTCTGCCTCCTCTCTTTACCTCCTTTTCCTTTCCTCTCTCCTTCCTTCCCTTTTCTCCGCATTGCATTAGTTTCCTTCCCTTTTTGTACTCTACTCTTTTTCCTTCTCCAGATTTTTCTTCTCTTCCTCCCCTGTGGGAGCCAAAGAAATGCACAAGAAACATTGCACATTCCCAGGCATTTCTCTCTCTCTCTTTCTTTCTTTCTCTCCCGCTCCCTCTCTCTGGCTTGGCCTACCTCGGAGGGCTCCGATGGTGATAAAAGTGCAAGGGAAAATTCCACCACCACCACCCCGTAAGTTTTGCTGCCTGCACCTTCAGGAGAAAAGCAGAAATATTCCCGCTCTGCCAGAGGTATAGAACAAAAATACAATTGGACAACAGAATAATAATAAAGGCGCTTTGAGAAAGCTCAACAGCATGAGGAACGCTATGGACTTGGGACTTAGCTAGTCATTGTTTAACTAGGAAAGTCAGCATTAACGTCGAGGTGTAAGCTGGCAAGAAGCTTTCGAAGGAAGAAGAAGATGGATGGTGGGTCTGAAGGGGAAAAGGGTCGGTGGGTTTCTCAATTGCTTGCAAAGATGGACCTCGAACGCAGAGCTGTAGACCCGGCCATTATTATTTGAGGGCTGCTGCAATATTGGAGGGGCTGCCCCAGAGAGGAAGGGGGGGTCAAGCTATTTTCCAAAGCCCCCCAAAGGCCAGACAAGGAAGAACGGATGGAAACTGATCAAGGAGAGATTCAACCTGGAAATAAGGAGGAATTTTCTGACGGGGAGAATCAATGGAACCGAAGTTGCCTTCGGAAGTTGTGGGAGCTTCGTCCCTGGAGCCTTTCAAGAAGAGCCATTTGTCAGAAATGGTGTAGGGACTCCCGCTTGAGCGGCGGAGGGGCGGGGTTGGACTAGATGACCTACAAGGTCCCTTTCAACTCTCTGTTAAATCTATATCTAATGACGTGTTGCTCGTTCAGCGAGCCCAGCTTCATCCTTTCGCTCTTCTTGCCACCAGGGGCCAGGATCCAACCCCAGGACATGGCTGCCCTCGCCCACGACTTGGGCACAGCTTTCTTTCAACGGCAGCAACTTCCAGCCTCCATGGCCGACACATTTTTGGAACATCTGTGCCTGCTGGATATTGACTCCGAGCCCATCACGGCCCGGAGCACCAGCATCGTTTGCACCATTGGTGAGGGGGTCACTTTGGGGCAGGAGGATGGGTTATGGGAAAGACGGGGGTGGGGTGGGGAAAATGGGTGGGGAAGGACCCGGGCCAGCGCACCCCTCCCTCATGGCCCTGTGTAGTTTTGTAAACAGGATGCTTGCGGGGAAACCAGAATTGCGGGGGGGGGGGGG